CCAGAAGAGGTTCTAGACCCAAGGCCCGCTCCCAATCACGGGGGCGCTCGTGTTCTCAAGGTCACCATCAGGGTCGGGATCAGCCTGGGCGGCCCCCGAACGGCCAGCTACCTGGCGTTCAGTTCGAGATCACGGATTCACATCCGGGGAGGACGCCTGCAGTTACTTCGAAAGGCAGCTGGGCTGAGCGAGTGCGCAACGGCGGGGCAGAGGTGATGACAGGTAAGCTGCCAGAGCATGATAGAATTGCACAGCTAGAGCAAGAAAACGCGAGACTTACAAAATCAAATGAGAGGCTATCAGCTGAGTTAAAGGAAATAAAAATTCTTCTCACTAAGCTAACCAGCGCGCAATCTTCACAGCCAATGCCTCAGCCAGTTGATGTCCCTGTGGCTGAAAACGTGGGGGACTCGAGAACCGCGAAAAAGAGGGCAGTCATGGCAGAACACGTGGAAGCCAACCAAACGACCATGTCAGATATGAAAGAGGTGTTTGACACGCTCAGCAAAGTAGTAGCCAATCTTAGCGAGCAGATGGGTAGGCTACAATCAAGCGTGGCGGCACTGGAAGAGCATATGACTTTGCGCATTACAAAGCTCGAAGCAGATCTGCACAACACAGCAAGGCCTCCTCATGCACCAAGCTCACCCCTTCGGCCACCAATACTAGTGGTACCAAACCTGTCGACAGGTGCAGCATCAGGCTCTGGCCACCCATGTAATAACCATGATGGCAGCGCTACGTGAAGCATTTCGTATCTGGCAATGGAACTGTAGAGGTTACCTTAAAAAGAAGGCAACCCTGCAGCAGTATATCAGGAGCAGCCAAGAAAAGCCTCATATTATATTATTACAAGAGACCCTTTCACCGCAAGCAACGTTGCCTGGATTCCGGCCTGTAATAGGGGATACTGAAGGGAGGGGAGTCTGCACCTTCGTATGCAACAAACTAACGCACGTAACCCATGACCTCAAGATAGAAGCAGGCCGATTGGAACACGTCTTGGTAGAGATCGTGCCGGGTACCAGCAACCGTCAGAGCATTTTCATTCTTAATATATACAGCAGTCCAAAGGAACAAAAGCAAGGGTTCAAGACGGTTCTAAAGAAAGCTGTTAATATCGCCGGGGAATGTCCACTCGTCATAGCAGGTGATTTCAACGCCCCTTATCATACATGGGGTTACAAGTACAACACTGGGAAAGGAAATCGACTTTGGCAAAGCGCCAGTGAACTTGATCTCACCCTAATCACAGACCCCAGCCTACCAACAAGGCTTGGTACATCTTGCTGCAGGGATTCCACCCCGGACCTTACATTTGTAAGGAACATCAAGAAGGCCCAGTGGATGAACCTTGCTGTAGACCTAGGGAGTGACCACTGCATTCTTGCCACTACCTTCTCCGTGGAGCGTAAAAAGCAGAGAGAATTCCACTTCACAGACTGGGATAAGTTCAGGAAAATAAGGATGGAAAGGGAACAAGATGGCCACAGACAAGGCTTGGAGCAGTGGGTCAAACAGATTAAAGATGACATCAAATCCGTCTCCTCCACCATTACCACAGATCTTCCGGTTGAAAGAATGGATAGCCGGCTTGCTCATCTTCTTGAGGCAAAGCAAGCACTACTCAACCGTTGGAAGGGTCAGCGCCTGAACCGAAGACTGAGGAAGAAGATAGCTGAGGTAAACAGATCAGTCGAGGAACATTGTCGCACACTATCGAGGCAGCAATGGGACGAAATCTGCAACTCCGTCGATGGTCAGATGCGCAATGGCAAGACATGGAATATGTTAAAGCATCTCCTCAACGAAAACACCACCAAAACAAATCAAAAGCATGTCATCGCTCGAATTTTGCATAAAGAGATAGGGCGCACTACAGAACAGCAAGTTGTCCAGCAGCTCGTGCATAAGTACCTCCCAATCAAAAGAGGATTGGCACCACCAAGTAGACAGTACCAGGGCACGCCAAATCCAGGTCTTGAGGGCGACTTTAACATCGAGGAGATCAGAAGAGCCTTGCATGATCTCAACGGCAGGTCGGCCCCTGGTCCGGACGGTATATCAAACAAGGCCCTGCGTAACCTCGATGACGATTCAATTGAAACCCTGAGGGATATGATCAATTCAGCATGGAAAGAAGGCAGGGTGCCAGAGCAGTGGAAGCTGGCCAGCACGATCCTTATTCCTAAGCCAGGAAAGCCCCCTAACTTGGACAACATGAGGCCAATATCCTTGACATCATGTATCGGCAAGGTCGCAGAACATGCCATACTGCACAGGATAAACAAGTACTTGGAAGATAACAACATATATACACACAATATGGTTGGATTCAGGGCAGGGCTATCCACACAAGATGCATTGAAGCTTATCAAACACCAGATCATTGACAATGAAACCAGAGACGTGAGAGCCATTCTGTGCCTAGATCTAGAAAAAGCGTTTGACAACATCCACCATTCATTCATACTCGAAGCAATTTCCAAGCTTGGTCTAGGGAAAGCCTTCTATGACTACGTATGGTCCTTTCTTACAGATCGGAAAGCCGTGATGAAGATTGCAGATATCGAGACCGGAGAAATCGAACTAGAAGCAAGGGGCACGCCACAAGGGGCAGTGATTTCACCAATGCTGTTTAACATTGCCATGATTGGACTGTCAAAGAAATTATCGAGCATTGAAGGATTGAAGCACAGCATCTACGCAGATGACATTACCATCTGGTGCACAGGTGGAAGCGAGGGGCAGATTGAGAGCGCTCTGCAAGAGGCGATTGACACCGTAGAAGACTACCTTCGCCCTTCCGGGCTCAAGTGCTCCTCGAGTAAGTCAGAACTTTTGCTTTATCGGACTGCACGCCGGGGACCAAAGCCCAGGGGATGGAAGCCATTAAACCAGATAGACATCCAACTCCGTACAAATCAAGGGGATGCCATCCAGAGGGTCGACTCCATCAAAGTCCTGGGAATGCTGATAGAGTCTACCGGCGCCAACAGCAAATCTATTGCCAAGTTAACTCGGAAAACAGACAGTGCGGTGCACCTCATACGCAGAGTGGCCAACAAAAGAAATGGGATCAAGGAAGACAACCTCATCAGGTTGATGCATGCGTTTGTTCTAAGTCACTTCACATACGAGGCAGCAATGCACAACTGGTCAAGAGCAGAGTCCGAGACACTGAATGTGCTCCTCAGGAAAGTTATCAAGAAGGTCCTGGGCCTACCCATACATACCAGCACCGAGCGTCTGCTTGAGCTTGGCATACACAACACGCTCGAAGAAATAGCAGAAGCCCAAGAGAGAGCACAGTTTGCAAGGTTATCTACTACAAGGTCGGGGAGAATGATCCTGCAGGAGCTGGGCCAAAACCCAAGAGCAATCAGACGCAATTACAATGATATCCCTGACAACATCAGGGAGACTATCACGGTATCTCCTATACCGAGAAACATGCATCCAGAACACAACGTCGGAAGAAGAGTAGCGAGGGCCAGGACTATACTTCGTCAAGTCTCAAACGAGGAACGAGGGGTCGCATTTGTTGACGCGTCTTCCTACGCCAATGGGAAAGCGTTTGTGGCAGTGGTAGTCGATGGGGCTGGCCATGTCGTCAACTCAGCGACGGTCAGGACGAAAGACCCAATCATTGCGGAACAAGTGGCCATCGCCTTAGCACTCAAGATGGATAACATTGAAGTGGTCTACTGTGATTCCATGGCAGCACTACGGGCGTTCACCAAGGGGACGGTCTGTGAACAAACGCTAAAAATACTGCAAGGCAAGAACATAACACATCATCTTCTGAGTTGGTTCCCAGCTCACCTTGGACAAATCAACGATTCCCCTCCCAATCTCAACGAAGCAGCACACGAGGCGGCGCGAGAACTCTCCAACCGCGCCTCCCCGGGGATGCGTTCTAGCGGTGAAGGGGATAACCGGGAAATTCTTACAACATATAACGAGCTCACTAAACATTTCTACCTGTCTAGAAGGATTTTTCCTCCACCTCACAAAAATCTAACCCGGCCCCAAGCACTTACATTAAGGCTTTTGCAAACGCGGATGTACCCTACTTTGAAAATGTTACACATCATGTACCCTGACCTATATCCAAGTAATCTTTGTCCACATTGTGGGGAAATAGCTTCATTAGAACACATGCTCTGGCAGTGCACCAAATTCGCTCATTTATCGCACATCACCTCTGCCAGATGGGAGGCGGCAATCCGCAGCTCATCCTTGGCAGATCAGCTCTGGGCTGTCCACCAAGCCCGCGAGGCGGCTGAGGAGCTTGGCATCTCAGTCCCCACGTGGGAGCTGCCCGCAACACAGTGATCTGTGTATTGGAGGACCAAATAAAAGTTTATCCAATCCAATCTACAGTTGCCAAAGCGATGTTCTCAAGGCTTGTGACTTGCTGCAGTGGTTTTCCACGATTAGGCAACGCGAATTTTCTAACTGTTATAATATTGTGTTCGTGAAAAGCTGTGTCAACTTGCTCTGCGAAGTTCTCGGCATCTTTTGAAAACACCATTGTGGAAATAAAACAGCTTTGGTTCTTGAATCTTTCCTAATGGTATTTCTTCACGCGCGCACACTATATATAGCGAGGTATAAGGAACAATAAAATTGCGTATTTCTAACGGCACGTAAAAGGTTGGCAATTAAGAAACATTTTAATTTCGCACCATGTAGGGCAAATGCACGACACCCCTACCGCTTCCGGTTGTGACGTCACACTTTATTTTATGTTAACTGTTACTTTTCTCTTCTATACGTAGATGGCGACGGTGACAACTAGCTGCCAACTGCTATATACATGGGCTTCTATGGAAGTTACACCACCAGTTCGCACATACCTTACTCGCGCTGTGTTCAAGAAGTTCTGGAAACATTTACCAACCAGTCCAGCTGCCCATTCATCTAAGCAGGACAACACGGTAACCGCTTAGCCATCAAGGCAGGTCACTATATGAGGTCTGTACATGTTGTCCTACCGTGGCCGGACATGTAGTGGTCGAGGAACTCGTCCCAGGATCCCTTGAAGTTGCCGAGAAACGTGCTCATCTTGTGGTGGTGGAAGTAGGACACCGCGTTGTCCTTGGGATTCCGAACCACGTAGATTATCTGCGCGGCAGTAGTAACATAAGCACCGTCGTCGCTATCTCTCACTCAAATCAACAATCGAATGTCGCGACCAAAAAAGTGTGATGCAACGATACAAATGACGCTCACCAGCATATATTAGTGGATGCGGTGCTTCGTTGCAGAGCAGCAGATTGTGAGTGTTAGAAACCGAGGAGTATAAAAACTGTTAGGTGTTGGTCACACAAATCAGTGAGAATGAACTAAAGACAAGACAGCTGTCTGGTTATCTACCCTGTGTACTTTTATGACATTTAGCACTGATCTCTTCCACCTTGAATGACTGAATGAACAGATCAATCAATCAACCACCCATTCCATCATTAAAAGAAAGCATAGATGAACGAATGAAATAATTGACTAACAAATCACCAAATAAAAGCAATTATGAACGAAGGGTGAATGAGATGCACTTACAAACGAGTTAATGTTCCACCTTATTAGACATGAGGAAAAAGTTGGGGCAATACTCCTCAACGATCAAAGGATCACAATGGCACGACGTTGAGGCATTGCGATCACCATACAAGTTATGGTATGGGGATGTGACTCAACACAAATGAATACTTAGGAGGCTTATAGGAGATATTGAACGAATTATTCCGGGAGTGATTCACAATGCATTAGATAGTTTAGTGAAGTACACACAATTTTGTTGAATTTGTAAGAAAATTGTTTCCTAATAAGGTGCACCTCAATCCCGAGAAAACTCAAATGACCTACCATAACCTGATGTGATCTTAAGGAGGTTATCGCGTGTATTACTCAAGAATAAAGAGCGATTTCATTCAAGAACGCTGAAAAGGAAGAGGCGGTGTCTAGAAACAAGCACGACGCCAGCCGCTTGCCCTGTAATGTAACCGCTAGTTCACGATACAGTGATCCCTATCGCCCCTGAAACACTGCAGGCGCAGTAACACGGCTTCGCACTAAAGCGGTCGAGCCAGTTTTTTTTTTTCAGCGAGGTCCTAACGTTAGATATGCCACGTGTCAGTTTTGACTCCCCCGGTCACGTATGTAAAAGCGTAGCAGCAGCTACACCGCAAACACAATTGCACTCGCCACAATACGACGCGCACCGAACCGCTGTATCCGGCGCACGTTTTTGCGTCGCGCATACGAAACGCGCGCCGCGCTGTTATTAGGCCTGCAAGAACTCTCCATCTCCCCTTGCGCAGTTTTGAAACTCCGCAGCACGGTACGCGGCGAAACATGTGGAGCGTATGGGTGTACGACGTCCCGTCAACGCTGTATACGGGAGCTAACATGCGCGCTTTCCTAGAACAACGATTCGCTCGGAGTTGAGCCTCTTCCTGAATGGGCCAAATGGAAAAAGGAACGAGCGTGACCCGTGGTACGTAAGCGAGCGCTGTGTAGGTCCGAGCACGGCAGTGCAGTGGCGGGTAAGCAGAATGGCGCGCTTTGGGCTACGACACGGAGCGATTACTCGCTCGCGAGATCACGCCATCTGCATGCGAGACACGCAAAAGGGCGAGCCGCGCAGACTTTAGGTCACGCAAGAGCGACGCAATGTGATGGAATCGCGGTGTCGACCGACGTTTCATCTGGATATGCGGCGACATGTAAGGAGAAAACTAGAAGAAAAGCGCATTGCTATATTGAGCAACTTAAATGTATAGGTGCGTGGGGTCTACGGGATCACTGCGTTCAAGCACTAACTATCACGGGCGACAAAGCGATGGCCGATTTTTGGCATGCCATAAAACAAGACGAATGTACATTCCTGCGCGACCGGTGCATCAACCCCGTCAATGGACCGACGCTCAGTGTGTACTGTTTGCACACACAGACGAATCCATCGGTGCTATTTCGAGTCCTAGCAGTGCCCAAGAAACTAATAATAATAATAATAATAATAATAATAATAATAATAATAATAATAATAATAATAATAATAATAATAATAATTATCATCTTGAGTTGTACAAAACAAATAACAGGCCTGTCAAAGCCAGACGGTGGCTTGGAGGATGTCACAAAACAAGCGCTCAAAAAGGGTGCGCCGCCAAATTCTCGCGACGAAGCGCCGGAGAGATGCCTCGAGTTCAACGATAAAAAAAGAAAAAAACGCATCTAAAGACTCCCCGGGCGCGCGTTCCTCTCCCCTCGGAAGCGTAAGTTCACCGACGAACCTCCTAACATCGGCGGCCGAGGAAGCCCTAGAAATTTCTCGATGGAAATGGGCGTGGTGATGCAGGGTTGCGTCATCTGACGCGGACGGCCCTCGTACCGTCTCGCGCTTTCCCCAGCCTTCGCTGCGTATCGTGCCGACGAAATGATGAGAATTTTCTGGAATCCCGCGTGAAGGTATTTAACCGAGCAGCAGAGATGACAGACGAGGAGAAGAAGGAAGCTAGCACCAGTGTGCGTGGGGTTATTCCGCCGCGTCTGTCGGTGAAGGTTTTGTCCTTAGCGACAAAGCAGGAGAAGAAGAAAGTATGCGCCAGAGTGCGTAGGTTGTTCCGCCTTGGCGGCGAGGCCTTTTGTCTTCCGTGACAAAGGAGGAGAAGAAGAGGATTTCCACCTGAGGGATGAAGACTCAAGCTACAGGCAAGAGTGTGTGTATACCGCTATCGAGTGAAGACGCGTGGCAACAGCTGCGTGTGTGAAGCCGACGTGTTACCGGCGAAGAAGTTTGGAGCCTGGAGAGCGGCCAATTGAAGACGCGAAGTTTCCTGGAAGAGAAACTTCGGGGCAGCGGAACGACAACAACGCTGGACTTTGAGTGAGTGATTCTCGGAAGAGTATCATCCAGACTTTTGTTCCAAGAACTTTGGACCGAATAAGTTTCCTAACTTTTTAGTCTTTAAGTGCCTTGGTTCTTCGATGCATGCGACTGCACTGTAGTGCGTATTGTTGTCTGGGCCCGTTGTTTCGAGTGTGGCTTATTGTACTGTGTAATACATTGTTTGATTGGCGACATATTGTATTCGACTATTGTCGAGTGTGCATACTTGTGTATCGTTTTGATCTGCCATAATTGAGAATATATTTTGTTTTGTTTATCAACTCTCGGCTCTGACTTGTTTTTTGGGCCACAACCAGCGTCCGCTGGCGCGCCAAATAGGACCACTTCTAAACTGTCCACGCTTTCGAGGTACGGTTCGGGGGGGGGGGGGGCGATACTTCGGTCCTTGGAATTAGCCCGGCGATCGCCTCCCAAAGTAACGGGACCTGTGACAGAGGACTTGGCCCGGCCCATCGGCAAACGAGAGATGACATACATATTGAAAAGCTTTTCATGTAAACAATCTGAGCAAGAATACATGTGACTCATTTACGCTCCATTTAAACAAAATAACAATCAAGAATCAAATTAGCGGAAGCAATACTACCTAAACAGCAGAAAGGTGAAGATAAGTATTGAAAATTTTTTAAAAGATTTTACCCATAATGCGATAACTGATGCAGCATTAAAAAGACCTTAGGCACTTTCGTTGACTGCGTTTAGTCATTGCCGAAAAAAAAAACTGTCGGGGATGGTATTCAAAAAGAGTAGGGGCATAAACCTTTCTAGTAGCTTTGCCATATCGAGTTTTGACGAATGGTACAGAAAAGCAGGAAGTTTTTCTAAATATACGAGGAGCAGTGCATTTGTTTTTGAACTGAGAGCCCCAGAAATGCAATAATAATAATAATAATAATAATAATAATAATAATAATAATAATAATAATAATAATAATAATAATAATAATAATAATAATAATAATAAAGATAAGATTTGCGGGTTCAAAAGTACTGTTTTACTTTTTCTTCTTTCTTTAGGAATAGAGTTACTTCGCGGTTATCCGAGAAATTCGAATTTATTAAATGAAGTCGCTGTGTGCGTTTTACCCTAGCCGAAACCAATATCGTAGCTCGGTCTACAAACTAAATTGATCCTGTTAGCAGCTTTCATAACAAAGTGCCCATATAGCCCACACTACGGCTTTTTTTTTTTTCGAGAATGAATTTTCAGCGTGACAAAAACTATGTAATCCAATTTTCAGATCTCGTCAAAACATCTTACGAAGTTGAAGTGCAGAAACAGCTTAAAGCTGTGTGCTTAAAGAACTTCTCTAAAATCGTTTATAAAAGCACACCATGTATGTGCTGTTACAAAGCAATAAAGTCACAATGACTTCATCATCATAATCATCATCATCATCATCATCAGCCTCACTGCGTCCACTGCAGGACAAAGGCCTCTCCCTTGTTCCGCCAGTTAGCTCAGTCCTGTGCTTGCTGCTGCTAATTTATACCCGCAAACTTCTTAATCTCATCTGCCCGCCCAATCTGCTGTCTCCCCCTAACCCGCTTGCCTTCTCTGGGAATCCAGTTAGTTACCCTTAATGACCAGCGGTTATACTGTCTACACGCTACATACCCGGCCCATGTCTATTTCCTCTTCTTGATTTCCACTATAATATTCTTAAACCCCGTTTGTCCCCTAATCCAATCTGCTCTCTTCTTGTCTCTTAAGGTTATACCTACCATTTTTCTTTCCATTGATCGCTGCATCGTCTTCAATTTAAGCTGAACCCTCTTTGCAAGTCTCCAGGTTTTTGCTCCGTAGCTCAGTACCGGCAATATACAGCTGCTATATACCTTCCTCTTGTGGGACAGTGGCGATCTACCTGTCATATTTTGAAAGTGCATGCCAAATGTGCTCCACCCCACTCTTACTCTTTCGGTTACTTCAATCTCGTGGTTCGGCTCCCTGGTTAATACCTGTCCTAAGTAGACATAGGCTTTCACAACATGAAGTGCACTATTACCTATCTCGAAGTGCTGCTATCTTCTGAGGTTGTTGTACATTACTTTCGTTTTCTGCAGATTAATTTTAAGAGACACCTTCCTGGTCTCCTTGTCTAACTCCGTAATATTGAGTTGCAATTCGTCCCCTGAGTTACTCAGCAATGCGATGTCAACGGAGAGACGCAGATTACTGAGGTACTCTCCGTTAACTCTTGTCCCTAATTGTTCCCATTCTAGGCCTCTGAAAACCTCCTGTAAGCACGTGGTTTTCAGAGGCCTAGAAAGGCAACGGTTAGGGATAAGAGTTAAGGGATCGTAATAATTGCATCCTAGCAATGGCGTAGTGGTAGAACATCAGCCTCGCATGCAAGAGGTCCGTGGTTCGATTACCGGTGCCACCCAGTTCCCAACCAGATTAAAAAAAAAAAGTCCGCGTGGTGATGGAACTGCATTAAGAAGCCTGAGGGGCGGCCTCACCGGTGATCACCGCCGGTAACGCACTCCCTCGCCAGAGATGGATAGGCCCTTTCGGTGCAGTATCTGGCAACTACCTCCCGCACGCACAATGACCTAAAAAGCTCCAAATACGGGTGCAGCAGCAAACCGATAGCTTGAGCAACGATGGTGAAACATCGACCTGTGTGGAATTCCGAAATACACGCAGGTGTTCGCACATTTCGAACAGACTCACCACTTGGATTTGATTTTGGCAGTCTCCAGCGCAAGTCTTTCTCCAATAAATTCACCGCTTTTGCTGTCACGCAAACGTCTCGCCTCCAAACTATCACCCCTAAACAACTAAACGCATCTTTCTGTCAACGTAATGATATAAACACGGTGGTTTTCTTCGCTAGTTTCTTCTCACGCACAGCGGAATGCCTTCAGTCTAGTTTCTGATTTGTTCTGTCAGCTGATGTCTCTGGTTCTGGTCGTTTGCGTTGCTGCTTTCCAAAACCTTTGTCGCTCTAGACAGCTGTTGTTAATCCCAGCTCAGTCTAACCTACGCAGTTACGCCGTTGGCAACAGCGATTGATACTTTGGTGTTCTCGCGCTTCCGTCGAGAGAGACGTATCAACGAGTCATAACCACCATTCCAGAGACTCGTATAAATGTACATTATCATGACATGCAAGGTTTGGTTTCGTTATGATAGTTTTTGCTACCATGGCTTTCGCAGAAGTTCTTGGAGCGATTGGTGCCAATATAGGAAATGTTGCCAGTAAGACTCTCGTGTAGCAAGTGACATGCAGCAAGATTTTATCGCTGCAGCACTTCGTTGCAAACCTGAAAGCGGCTTCACTGGTGTTTGTATTTTCCAGCGTAGTGTACGGTATCCTAACTCTAAACACAGCTGGCCGGTTATTTAGTAACGAATTGATTTGACATGTGAGGTTTATTGTTCCAAAACCACCACATGACTACGAGAGATGCCTTATAGCATAGGGCTCCGGAAATTTCGACCATCTGGGGTCCTTTAACGCGCAACAAAATATTTATTAAAAAAGAGAGCAATGACTTGACAGTTCCTGCATCTCCCAAGAGGCATAAAACTTTAAAACACACGAGTCATTTACAGTCCGTATTCTTCTGTTTGTTTGTTTTTCACTACGTAAGCAACACTGCGCATCATGCCGTCCTTAGTGAAACTGCAAAAAAGGACGAGGTTCAGTGGAAAATTCGACTGCGATATTGCATGGTTTCGCAAGTCTATATTCCATTTCAGTTTTGTCGAACTGGCTACAGTCAGCTCTTGAGCGAAAATGTGCCCGTCCACCATCGCACAATGAATCAATAAAGCTTATTCCGTACAAAGTACTCATAAAATAAATATAAGTGCTGATTCATCATGCTAGCTATCAGGATCAGAAAGCAGACGCACAACAAGCCCAAATTACACGGTGCTGGTGATTTCGGTATTGTCCCAGGTATTGTTTGCAACGAACGCTCAGCCAGCCCCACAGTGAGGCTTCTATACTTTCCGGTGCACTCCGTCAACCCGGCGCGCTTTTAAACAGCTGTATGGCCGTGATCCAGTCGTACCTAGAAGAAAACATTTACGAATAAAAGAGGCCTGACTGCACCTTTTACCCTAACTGCACGACCAGGGAGGCAATAACAACCATAGGCTGCAACTGTATATTGAAAGGGGTACGACTACGCTAAAGCGAACTCTGTACCGGGACAGGGGATATAGCGGTAAAAGAGGGCTTTCATAGAAGAGAAAGGAAGACTGCCCCGCCTAGCGACGCCTATACGGCACCTCTCGATCCCCGGGTTACGCGGCAAGCAAAAAGCAAGATCAAAGATTGCCGTGCCAGTGAGGGCCGCCACGTGAAAGGAGCGGCACCACTTGGTTTTACGGCGCTACTATAAATGGAACCGCGGAGCTGCATACACTGTCACGCGCGGCCTTCCCGATATGGAAAGGTGCAGCGGAAGATTGACTGCGCCGTGCATGGAGCGAATCAATGACGCAATTTTTTTGGTACTATTATAGCGGGTCGTTCATTATCGTTCTTGCATTTGGTGTAATCGCGAACACAACTGCCAGTTGTCTTTTGTTCGCAGTCTACACAAAAGCACGCCCGATACAGTCGGAGTCATCTGTTGTTGCAGACGTGCACTAACAAGCCCACTCAAACGGCAGAAACATAGAAAAGGAGAAAGAGAACAATGACGCAGCGCACCACGTGCCGAGGCCTTAAAGTAAAACAAGCGTTCTTTCCTGGGCTACCAGAAAACAACGCTTGCAATGTGCAGAATCACGAAACGAGTGAAACGTGAAATCAATCTTGCGTACAAGCACGACCTAATGCGACCACTTATAAGTTCAACAATATCTCGAGCAGGTCAACCGAATGTCGCAAAGAGCATTCTTTGTTTCAGATTTCAACGAACAAGAAAAACGGTTGCGTTTTCACGGTTCAGTCGCAACTAAGACAGTAGCATGATGAGACAAAAATAAATATAATAAAGCAAGGACAGACTGCAAGAGATTAGGGAGTTTTTTTTTTTTTTCGCAGATGAGGCAGGCGAGCACACACGGCAAAACCAGCACGAAATTTAGTTTTAACCGCCCATGGAGACCTGGCGTACGCATCATTTCTGTCACGCGGCACCGTATAATTGGTTCTCTCCCCCACGAACGCAAATTACATGGAAGGCTATAGGCGACGGGTGAAAGCAGGAAAGGGCTGGTGGAGATGGGGTGAACGGCTTGATCGGGCGCATCTGGCTGGCATTAAAGGAATAGAGGAGTCGATAGTAATAAATACGACTCTAACACTGACATCAGCTAGAAGTACTCTCTGCTGGGCTAGTTGGACCATGATTCTGCACAGCACATACAAAAAATGGCCGTTTCTTTTTTTTTTTTTTGCGCGACAAAAAAAAAAAAAAACCGATGGAAGGGATCAAGGAAAGTGCCTACGTCACATCGGCGCCTACGTTACCGTTTGTGGCCACGTTCCAAGTGGCATGACGCGGCTCTCCTGACAAACGGCGAAAACACCTCGCTATGCCTAAAATAAAACTGTCATCCTTCAATAAGGCACTATTGCACTCTTTATTAAGACAATTTCCACGCCTTCCGGCAGTTTTCGAAACTTTCCGCTGCGGACCGACAATGACGACAGGAAGTGTCATAAAAATGCTTGTCATTTCCACTTGTTATAAGAATGTAAAAATCAGCTACACTGGTAATTAAACCAAATGCGGGCAAAATTGTGCGGACGAGAACTGCAGCTGTTGAGTGAGATACTTAGCCATGAACGTAAAATAAAATTTTGACCATGTCGCTTGAAAGTAAAGTAAATTAGAAGTGCGAATTAATGTGTTTCCGTGGTAGACAACACGAACAACATACTGTAAGCCAGATTCGTAAGGCGCCTGAAGTCATGCGAAATTCGATCCAAGTTACTTCCGAGCCCTGCACTACACTTTTGATAGACAGCGTACACATGGCCAGCGTGACCGCAGTATTACTGCAGATTCTGAAGGGTCATTTAGAACCACAGCTGTGACGGTTCGATCAGGGACGCTCACGATCGCATGGTGTCTACAGTGTGAGGTCCCTCGAACGGTAAGTGATAGGGGATGACATAATGCATGTTGTCTAATGGCGCAGCGACGGCCAAAGAGCACCAGGACAATATCTCAAATGTGAGCAATGATTCTGTTGAGTAACTGCATAAGAGTCTAAAATTGTGCGCAGAAAACGTGTGTAAAGCATATTAGTACTAAAATTATAACAGTAACGAGAGATATGTGTAGTGAAAATGAATGGCAAACGGTGGTGTTAATGAAGCCATGGGAATGTGGTATTCCTCGTCAACGCTTCTTCATTTGAGGGCCGCGAGGCAGACACTTTCTGTAGTGTAGCTACCGCAACAGCAACCTCTGTTCGAAAGTCGTGTTACGGATTGCTTACATGATCGGATTACCATCCGGATTACGGATTGTGGATTACGAACCGGATAACTGATTGCAGTTACGTGACCGTAACAAACCAGATTACGGATCGATGTGAAATGTACAAAGAACTGTCGAAAAAGGCAAACAATGACGTTTAAAACGTAAGTTAGAATGGTGCAGCGACTGACCTTGCATTTGGCTTGCTGCAGCTGCTTCGGTATGAGCTTGAGTGGCAGGTGCGTGGCGAGAAGACGCGGCGAGCGCGTCTTGCGCAGGTGCCACAGGTGGCCCCACGGGGGGTCCCACCTCGAGGTGCTGCACCCGGTACACGAGCAGCTTGTTCTTCACCCGGTCGGGGTCACCGCCGTTCATGATGAGCGACACAATCTCCTCCATCCACGTCGTGCCTGCGTTAGACAGTGCATCGTTCCCACGATCACACACACACACAGGTCACCCATGTGCAAAAGGATACAAGCGGATGAGCATTTCCTACAAAAATAAAAAGAAGAAGAAATGCGACGAATGCAACATTATCCACGCTTAGTTATCGTAGCTCAAATAAAGGCAGCGCGAGATTAGGCTGCAGTAAACTGGCAGCGAGTCAAGAATAAAATGATAGGTATGACCTATCCTTGACGGGACACTAAAGTTAAACAATGAATCAGTTTAGACTGATAAATGACGCTCTCAAAACTGCATGTCTCATTAATTTCGCCTTCATAGGCACTGCAATAAAACATAAAATAAAGGTCTTGATGCCACTTCGAAAAGTCACACCTAAATCTCACCCACGTGACGTCACGGATGTCAAAATATTTTATTCGTAATTCAGTCGCGCTGAATTCTCTGAAACTAGGTATGCTATGTCTCCGGCCTCCTCAGCCTGCAATGTGCTTCCTATTTACCGAATAAGGAGCTACGCAAGTCCTAGTGGACACCCTGAAGATCTATTTTGTCCCAGTGATCGGTTCACGGGAACTTGAAAGGAGGCATCGCCACCAGCATTTTTTTTTGTGTGTGTGCATTTTCTCACTCCTCAAGCGTCCTTTCGCGGCTAGTGTGGCGATGTCGGTATTGTGAAGGTGGAATTTATTGACGCTAGGAGGAAGAGGAAAAATTGCTTTTTATTGAAAACCGTCAGATTGGGAAGCGTGGACTTTTTTTCCTTAGGTGGCAGCCATGGGTTATTGTGCTTGGGCAGCACCCTCAGCTTGCCGAAGCGCTTGGAGTTGAACTTCAGGGTCCGGGCTCAACAGTGTGGTCTCTCACTGCTCTCCGTTAACGTGTTTACTACTTTGCCCTTTGACTGTGCCACAAGCCAGAAGTGAAGAAAAATGGCCCCTTATGGTCTAGGGCAGTCCATCCCTCCAACATAGCCAGCGCAAAGCATACCCACGGACGGACGGACGGACGGACGGACGGACAGACAGACAGACAGACAGACAGACAGACAGACAGACAGACAGACAGACAGACAGACAGACAGACGCTTCGCCCCACTCAGTATCAGTCACTCCGTGAATATGCTGTGATTTTTTCTTTAGTCTTCCTTCAAGGGGCAAGAAGAGATCAAAGGGGGCCAGGGAATGAATGCCTAATTAAGGAAGAAGATTAGTGTGAACGGGAAAGGAATGCGTTGGAGAAGCGGGAAGTGCAGGTGAGAGTGTGTCTCCAGCTCTGCACTCTTTAGGAGAAGATTACTTGGTGCCGCTATGGCCTCCTCTTGGCTGTTGTAATTAGTTAGATCAAGCCGTACCGCTTGAAATATTGGCGCCAAGGAAGAGGACAGGGCATGCGCTAACCACGCCATGTCCTCTTATTTGGTCGTTGTCCTTTAAGCATTACGGTTTTACTGAAAGTAACAAACCAATTAGCCCAAACGTCCTTCTTGTAAACAGGCGTGCGCGGTCACCTAGCAGTTCACTACCAAAGCTGCGACGTCTGTCTTTGTACTCCCGTGCAAGTACCCTGAAGACAAATATGAAGTTGGCTTTTACATCGAAATACTGACGTTTCCCTGGGCCTTCACCGTGCTTCTTATATGGTTTTGAAGTAGCGCGCCTTAATGTGCCATTCAGTGATATTCATGTGTATCATGTTCGTATTTCATCAAAAACACAATAGCATGACTTAGGTGAGGTCACATTGCCGTGACGTCACTCACGTTCAAGGCTCCCCAATTACGTCGACCACGCTGTCACTCGTTTTCACCTTGGCCGCAGCTTTCAGGAAATAAAAGGAAAAGCATCACTTGGTTATAGCTAAAGCGTTGGAGGAGGCGGGGGTATCCTTGCTTCACGCAACGAGACCACTTGTTCTAATCACCGAAACCAAGCTACATGAGCGTTGAGCGTAAGCAGCAGCGAAATAGGAACTAACTAATAAGAAACGAGGCCACCAAACGTGGAACTAACGGGTGGAGGGAATACGTTATTAGGTATAATGACAAGATAAATGAGAACAGAAGGTATGTTGGGGACAGAATACGTATGTGAATAATGGATCGCAACTGCAGGAACAAGTGCACTCGGGCTAGGCCGTGCACAACGTGAACAAATGTAAGAACTGGTCAAACGCACCGTAGACCATTACCAAAACCGACGTAAATCCCATATGAAGATAACGCACGCTCGACATGCATTCGAGCCCGGCGAGTCATTAAACGTCTCGATCGCATCCCAAAATTAAAGGGCAATTAGGGCGGTGCACAAAGTCACAGGCTATTTAGTTCCTCCTTCATACCATTTTAATTATGGTTAGGATCAGCCTTGTGGAGGTTACGTACAAGCGAAGGTGCCTTTCAAACCATCTGCAATGACATTTGTTAAAGTATTTTTACGCACGATACGCACGAATTTCAAATTTCAAGTGTTTCCTGTGTGCACTCCTGTGAATTGTGAGGACGCTACTCATATTTCGATGCACCACCTAGAAGTCGTACCGATTGGTATTAAGAAACGAATTGCTATTTTTTTCTTGCCAGCTCAGTCGCCGAGCTGATTCTATTTCTAACCACGGTGGTCGCATCTAGTCTGGCGCGAACTCCGAAAACAACCGTTCGCTTAGGTCTGAACGCCCGTTAACGAACCTTATTTTCACTGCGCAGAATGCAGCTGCAAGATGTTTTTGAAAACGTTTCGGGGTGTTCCGTTGACAGCATATTTTAAGTCAAATGGCACGCATTCCGATATCGGTGCAAATAAAATGTGCGAATAAAACTTTTCGCTTGCTAAAACTGGGAAGAACACTTTTTTTTACTACAACGCCGTGCTTAAAGAGAACCAACCTGGTATTCCATCCGATATTGTTCTTCTTCTTGTTCATTTATTGTACACTCAATCAACACGTTAAGCTCCTTGCGCACGTTAAACAAACAACCAATAAATTTCTTCAAATGGAAATTTAATCTTCCTTTCTTGTACGTCTAACATCACCGACCGCCCATGCATCCGCTTTTACTATAATGCCCAAGATGAAAGGAAACAACTGACTGCTGCCGCTGTTTATATAGCGGCTGAATGTTTCAGTATTTACACACGCATCTTTCAACCAGCGTGAAATTTCAGTCCACCAATGTGTGTCGATGAAAACTATGTTTTGCGGGCGAATATGGCAGAGAGAAATTCGCATATAAATTAGTCGTTAGTCACCTTACTGAGACCGTACGTCCCCCAACCACGACATGATTATGAGAGACGCTGTAGTGGATGGCTCCGGAAATTTTTGCCATGTGGAGTTGTTTCTTTCATATCCACTCACGTCACATAGTACACGGGCCTCTACCATTCTCCCTTCAGCGTAATGCGACCACCACGGCCGGAATCGAACCCACGACCTCTGGGTCAGGGGCCGAGCACTGTAGCCCCCGTTCCACCAAGGCGGACTATAAGACTCGCAAATGATTTTCTATCATGTAAACACAAGCAAGAACTCGCGATCATTCAGCCATCTTTCGTCAACAGCAACCATGGTTACTTAGTGCTTACGAGTGCTCATAATATGCGAAAAAATCCAGTACTTAAGGAGGATTAGTCCTGTATTCGATACCGGCCGTAGAGGTCGCATATGAACGGAGATCAAATACTAGATAACGGATAAGCCCTTATTGAAAACGAGTCCTTAAATTTACACTGTTTTCCTAGGTACCTGTTTAGAACGCTACGTCCTGTGGATGTTAGAGAATATGGTCGAAATTTCTGGAGCCTTCTTCTACAGGGCACGGGTTATAATCATATCATCATTTTGAAACGTAAAGACCAACAAGTGATTTTTATACAGAAAATTTGAATTAAGTTCACTGTCTCGTGAAAGGGCATATTTCTCATTCTCATACATCTACCACCACCATACCTCGTAACAGTGTGCAGGTGAAAAAAAAAACAGCAGCACATCGTTTTCATAAACACGGGAAGACATTTTGTTATTGTCTCGTCAGGCGATGGTAGCGAAACGCGAATGGTGCCGCAAAAGTTTACCCTGAGCTCCTTTCAATATTAACTTTAGCCTCGTCGACAGCCACGCTGAATTCTCTCAGCTTGACTGATCGGCATGTAATAACGTCACACGCCACTCATGCGCGCGTTCGATATTTGCCATGTGCGCATGCGCAATCTATTCCCAGACATGGCACGAGGGAACGCCAGCACGTCACTTGTAATCGGGCTGCTTGAAAAAAAAAATTGGGGCTGTGTCAGAATGGACAAGTCATGCAAGTGAGGTCAGCCTCACCTCTCAGCTGTGGTAGACGCGCTTTTTTCTTATTCTAAGTGAAAGTGGGGTTGGCCTATTGGAGCCTACACGCCTAGCACGCACATTTAGAGTCACTTTAGAGGATTTCGTCATTTTATGTCCTTTTTTTCTTTCTCGCGCGCGTTCTGCACTTGGAAGGAGTTGACAAGGAGAGGTCACGACACGGCCAGGCGCAAAAGAAGCTCGAAGGCCCTTCAAAGATCCGTGTCCCATTATAGGTGATAAAACGAGCACCTTCGGCGTAGAGGACTGCTTCCCAAGGGAAATATTAGGAAGCGTGTGGCGTAGAAATAAAGCAACGAAGATGAAAATGGGCACTACAGTTTAGGCATGCAAATAGAGTACGAGCATGGGCAGAGGCCGGAATCGACGCAGTCCCATACTCTAGAGACGATAAGCGACGGCTGACGACAAAATAAAACATCTTCGAGCAAGTCTCCTGCCTGTCGTTCAACATTATTCGTAGATGTACAAGCCAGAGATCTGAAGCGAAATAATCTAAACAAAAAGCGACTTCACGACACGATCGACCACATTAAACTTCGAGACTATAGCAGTTTGCGAAAGAGTTTCGAAAAAAAAAATGAATGAATGAATGAACGGAATGACAGACTCAGAGACAGCCGGCCGGGGAGTTGGACGAAACCAGGGTGGC